AGAAAGAGGGAGAGGGAGAGAGAAACAGCGATTGGCTGCCTCATGCATGTGTCCAAACTGGGGACTGAATCCATAACCTGGGTATATGCCCTGACCTGGAATTGAACCCATGACCCTGCAGTGCACAAGACAACACTTTAGTCATTGAGCAACATTTCCCAGGGCCTGCTTTATCTTTCTCCATAGTCCTTACAACTAGATGGCATTATGTCATGGTTGCATTTGTTTACTTCGTCTTTCCACTGGAATATGGGTTCCTCTAGCACCTGAAACAACATTGTCTGGCACCTAGAAGTCACTCTATAGGATTTGTTAAACAACAAACAAGCAAACAAACTATGGAACTTATTAGAGGGGACACTCAGAAGCTGATGCAAATGACATATTACTAAAGCTAAATTTTCTAAATATGCCCTGCAAATGGAAATGTAATGCTTATTTGTCTCTCTATATACCCTGTAACAAAAAGGATCTGATGGCAGCTGATGAGATCTACTAGCAGTTCAAAACTATAGTTTAACATATCCCTGCAGTGGAAAAAAACCACTGAATGGATCACAATGAACCAATTAGTCTTATTTGAGGTAGTATGGTACCTGATACATTTGTCAATCAATAATGGTATCAGAAAAGAAGCAATATGAAATTATAGAATTAAAGTTTTGGTAAAAAAGTATTTCTTGCCCTGATCGGTTTGGCTCAGCGGATAGAGCGTCTACCTGTGGACTCATGGGTCCCAGGTTTGATTCCGGTTAAGGGCATGTACCTTGGTTGCGGGCACATCCCCAGTGGGGAGTGTGCAGGAGGCAGCTGATCGATGTTCCTCTCTCATCGATGTTTCTATCTCTCTATCCCTTTCCCTTCCTCTCTGTAAAAAATCAATAAAATATATTTTTAAAAAAGTATTTCTTGTATTTTTTTTCTTTGTATTTATTAGGTTCTGATAAACCTAAGACACTGACAAGATAAAATTTTTTCACAGGTACCTGCATGAGATTAATAAAATTCAATGGGTGACTGTCACAACCTGACCACAGTAAATTTTAATGTAGAATAAGGACAAAAATATCAATGGATACCTAGAGGGCAAAAATAAACTAAAAATCTGTTAAAACAAATTTAACAGTTACATTATCTTTAGTATTGTGAACTTCATATTATTAACATTCTGCCCCTGAAACAAATCAAGGGTAAAAGAGTTTATTAATACAAAACCTTACCTTTCATTCCAGCTCTCTTTGTATCATCAATAGTTAAAAGTATTTCTACTGCACTTTGAGCATCATCAGATAACTTTTCTTCACCTTCAGGCCAAGGGATATCTACAAATATGAATAAGCTTATTGATCATTGCTCAATATAATACACAGAGATAAATGAATCTATCTTATTGGAGAAAAAGAATCACCTCTTTTCAGAATATTCTGGAAAACCTGTTGTGGTGTTTCATCATTGAAAGGGGGAATTCCTGTTAGAAACTCAAACAAGCAAACTCCAAGTGCCCACCAGTCTACCGCAGGACCTAGAATTTAAAAGGAAGTAGTTGAATTTGAAAGAATTTTCTACAAATGTTTGATCAACTAAAACATTAGCACACGGATATTTGGGCACAAAGCATTCATTTCCTAAGGCTTTCTTCTGGCTTCATAAGGTACAAACAGTCAGATGACCTTCATTTATGCAATATGGCAATTACTTTCCTTCTCTATTTTCTAAGAAGTTAAAGTTAGCATTTAATACAGCTAGTTAAAGAAAAGTTAAAGCTATCTTTGGTCATTTATTAATAACCTGATATTCTGGATAGTCACATGTTCTAAATCCTAAAATACAACCAAGGAATGCATTTAATCTAAAGATTATTCTCTAAAAGTAATTACAGTACCTCTCAATTTCAAATTGGGAAATAACATTTTGATTTCATATATCACGCACTTCACAAAGTATGAGATGAAGCAGCTACATTTATACTAATTGGAGGATAGCCTGGTAATTATGGAAAGCCTTACTTACAAAGTGTTTTCATGTGTTTTATTCCTTTTAAGTTCATAGAGGGATAAATTAGTTTAACAAGTAATATTCACTTAAACTACAGCCTGAGGTAATTAGGAGTTAAGTCTTAATAAGTAGGTAAAACTGATTTCTAAATAGTATTTTTAATGAAAGCACCAATTAAATACAAAGATGTTTTAAAGGATTATTTTCAAAATGACTGTATAATCTGGTTTATGCTTTTATTTAGTTCTGTTCATGAATAAGGTATTTACTGCCGAAACCGGTTTGGCTCAGTGGATAGAGCGTCGGCCTGTGGACTGAAGGGTCCCGGGTTCGATTCCGGTCAAGGGCATGTACCTGGGTTGCGGGCACATCCCCAGTGGGAGGTGTGCAGGGGGCAGCTGGTCGATGTTTCTCTCTCATCGATGTTTCCAACTCTTTATCTCTCTCCCTTCCTCTCTGTAAAAAATCAATAAAATATATTAAAAAAAAAATAAGGTATTTACTAACCAAAGATTAACTTTAGTCCCAAAATGGTTAACTTTAGTACAAATTTAGAATAGGGATTCTATAGTCTAGTGCTAAATTTGCCTGGCAATCACTCTTAAACTCCAATTTCACAAAATCCATTACAATGTTTAAACAACTGCCACCCTTTTAAAACAAATAGGAAAGTACTGTGGAATATGCCATTAGGAAAAATATTCACATGCACATAGAATGCCTTTTCACCTGCAAGCAACATAACCCCATTTCCCCTGCGAACACAAGATGTAAACAGTCTACAGGCTTTTATGTCTTTAGTAATCACTATAAAAACATACAAACCACCTCAGTTAGTAGATTTTTAAAGCAGCACCAAGAAAGTATTCCTGTAGGTTAGATAATATAATGAATATAACCAAACAACAGAAAAGTAGGGGGACATCAGGAAAAAACATACATTTTATTTAGTTTACTTAGATTAGAAATTAGGACCCTTTGACCAGCTCAGCCCAAATGTACTCATGTCAAAAACATACATGCTTTCTCCATGGATATGTCACACATACCCATATATGTGAGTCAAAGTCTAATAAGATCATATATTGGGATTAATTGTAGCAATTATATCATCAGCCCGAGAAAGAGAACAAACTGATTTTATACTACTGACTTTCTAATTCACAACCCACTTTTGTAATTGGTATATTGATACTGTTTATACCTTTTTATTTTCTAATAATAACAGAATTAAATGGTTTAGAAAATTCCAGCTATTTTGTAGCTGCTAATTTTATTGTTTTCATCAAGCCTATTTTTTCTGTTGCAGTATAAAAAAAAAGTGGTATCTTCAGTCTCTGCTACCTTTAAAAACTATAAAAAATGCTGCATGCCTACATTTGTTTTCACAGAGCAGAGCAACCCTGGATGTCTTCTTGCTCAGAAGACAGAAGATACTTCATGTTTATAATTCATAAGTGAGCTGAAGTGAAAAATAATTTTTTTCTGCAATGTGATCTAGTTATACTTTGACTTTTCTGTTCAATGTGCTTTGCCATATTGCTTTAAAGAGAAGCTCACTCACCGGAAGTCAGAAATCCTGCAGGTAAGAAAACAGTAGTTAGGTGCACTGTATTAAAATTCTGAGTTCATTCTCTCATCATGCATTGAATTAGATAACAGGGACTGTGACGGTATAAGGGGTACAAAGATGATTAAGAAGGAGCTTTTTCTCAGGAGAAAATAGCCTGCTTTGGGAGAGACAACACGGATAATTTTAACACAATGTTAAGAAAGCTGAAACAAAAATATGCACAAGAGGCTATGGGAGTGCCCTGGCCGATGTGCTCACTGGTTAGAGCACCAGCCTGCGCACTGAAGGGTCTCAGGTTCGACTCCTGGCCAAGGGCACGTACCTGGGTCCCAGGTCAGGGTGTGTTTGGGAGGCAACCAGTCCATGTGTCTCTCTCACATCGATGTCAATGTCTGTCTGTCTGTCTTTCTCCTTCTCGCCTCCTCACTCTCTCCCTTTCACTCGCTCTGAAAAGCAATGGAAAATAACATCCTCTGGAAAAAATATCCTGGGGTGAGGATTAATTAAAAAAGAAAAGAAAAAAGAAAAAAAAGAAGCTATGGGAGAATCTGGCAGAGTTCCTATATCTGCATGGTGAGGGGAAGACCATGGAGGGCATCAGAGGAGTCATAGCTGTGCCTCAGCATGACAGCGGGAAATAGAGAGGTACACATGTAGTAAGGAGCAGAGACTGCCCCTGGGACCTGGGATGGGGACGTGAGGGAACAGGTAGAGAACAGGGAACTGCTGTTTTTTGTTTTTTTCTCCTTCTGATTATAAATTGCTTTGTATGACTTGTTATTTTAAAAACGATATATCAAATCACTTTTATAGAAACTAAAAATTTTAAAATATATCACTAGATAGCGGAGGTAACTAAGTGCCCCACTAAAATAGTGGCAAGATCTGATAAAGTAAATCATTACATCTGAAGCTTATTTTCATACTTTATCCTAAGTTAGAGAACATGCACATTGTAATACAGTAAATGGGTTAGCAAATCCATGACTTAGCAAAAGGGGTGCTCACTGCACAAAACCAGTTACGTGCCCCGAGGAACTTATTGCTTTGGCTAATAAAGGTGAACAGTAAATGTGTCCACTTGCAACAGTGGAGAGATTTTTCTCAACGGCAACTGAGTGCTGCCCAGGAATTCTCCTGGAGTGCTATCTCGAGGGAAACTTCAGACACTAGTCTTAGGAAACATTCTTAAGCTTTTGTAGTGGAGAAAATATAGTAACTAAAATGTAACAACTAACTATAACATAGGTAGAGTGACATGAGCTTTAAACAGTTTCTAATGAAGTAATACAGCAGTGAGTAAGTAAATCTCCATAACTGATCGAGGGACATTTTATGGGATAGGTGACATTTGAACTGATGATAGATGAGAAAAAATTGGACAGGAAGATGATTGGGGACTGGCTTTTCTAAGCTACTTATGGAAATACTTGTGGAAAATTTGAAAACAAATTTGTCTCAAGGAGCGGACTGGGAATACAGGCCTGTTAGTGACTCTGAGGGTGGCTGCCATGAGAGCTTGGGGTCTCATGTGCTACGACCACTAACCTGACTTTTAAAGGGTTGCCAGAGTTTTTCAAAGAGGGAAGCAGCACGTACCATGTCACGTTTTAAGAGGAAAACCTGTGTTTTGTGTGCGACCCTCTGGAATGCTTGAGGTCTCTCTGACCGTGGACCCCAGGCTTTTAAAAGGTGGGCAAAGTTGGGTAGTGAGTGGAAGGGTGGTAACTAATTTTCAGACTAAGGAAAAAAATCCAGCAAAGAAATAAAAGTTATGGATGGTGGGGTGGGGAAAATGAGACAGATGATCACCAAGAGTTCAAAGCATCTATCAAGATGTAGAAGAAAGCAGCATGGATGGAACTGGAGAGCATTACGCTAAGTGAAATAAGCCAGTCAGAGAAGGATAAATATCATATGATCTCACTCATTTGTGGAATATAATGAACAACATAAACTGATGAACAAGGACAGATCCAGAGATGGAGAGGCATCGATTGGACCATCGGGCCTCAGAGGGAAGATAAGGGAGGGCGGGGATAAGGGGGAGAGATCAACCATATAGGCCTAACCAATGGACATGGACAACAGGGGGGTGAGGGCATGAGTGGGGGAGATAGGGGGTAATGTGGGGATAAGGACATGTATGTAATAAGTTAATCAATAAAAAAATTAAAAACAAACAAACAAAAACAATAGAGGATATAGAGCCCTAACCGGTTTGGCTCAGTGGATAGAGCGTCGGCCTGCAGACTGAAGGGTCCCAGGTTCGATTCCAGTCAAGGGCATGGGACTTGGTTTCGGGCACATCCCTAGTAGGGGGTGTGCAGGAGGCAGCTGATCGATGTTTCTCTCTCTCCCTCTCCCTTTCTCTCTGTAAAAATAAATAATATGTATTTAAAAAAAAAAAGATGTAGAAGAAAGGGCTCAGCTGGCATGGCTCAGTGGCTGAGCGTCGACATATGAACCAGGAGGTCATGGTTCAATTCCCGGTCAGGGGCACATGCCCGGGCTGCAGGCTCCATCCCCATTGTGGTACATGCAGGAGGCAGCCAATCAATGATTTTCTCTCTCATCGTCGATGTTTCTCTCTCTCCCTCTCCCTTTCTCTCTGAAATAAATATATGTAAAGATGTAGAAGAAAGGGTTATGTTGTGGGTTGAACCATGCCCTCCTGAAAAAAGATAAGTTGAACTCTTAACCTTGAAGTTCCCTGAATGTGACATTGGGAAATAGGGTCCTTGCAGACATAATTAGTTAGGTTAAGATGAAGTCACACGGGAGTAGGGAGAGTCCCTAATTTAATATGACTGGGGTCCTTCTAAGAACACAGCCCTGAGACTACAGAGACAAAGGAGAACACACATGAAGAGGAAAGATTAGAGTGATCCATCTACAAGCCAAGCATGGTCCTGTCAACTCTTTTTTTTTTTTTTTTAAAGATTATTCTCTTTTTTTAAAAAAATATATTTTATTGATTCTCCACAGAGAGGAATGGAGAGAGATAGAGAGTCAGAAACATCGATGAGAGAGAAACATCGATCAGCTGCCTCCTGCACATCTCCAACTGGGGATGTGCCCACAACCTCGGCCTGGCAACTCTTTGATTTTAGACTTCTAACCTCAAGAACTGTCAGGCCATAAATTTCTGTTGTTTTGAACCACCCAGGTGATAGTACTTTGTTACAGTAACCCTCAGACACAAATACGGCTCATTTTCAGAATGTAGGAAGGGAAAAAAGGATAAGTGAAAATGTCATCCTTTTTTTCCTATATTTCAATTTGAAAAATGGCTCATTTCTGGCTTGACCCTCTGGTGAGGGGACAAGTGAGGTTCAGGGCTAAATAGGAACAGGCTTCTGCAGACTGAACAGAGATACTGGCTCAACTTTGTATGTTTTGAGCCCAAACTACAACAGACTTGAGGAGACGTTTAAAGCAAAGGAAACCAGGGCTGAAACGTGGGGCTTCTCTGAGACTATACCAGAAGCAAACAACAAATGGCTGCATGTCTTCTTTTCCGGTAACAAATGCTATATGTAGGAGGAAAGAGTAATGCATGAGTTAATTTTCTTCTACTTCAGGTAATCCAAGTACCAAAGAAATTTAAAACAATTTCACCTCAAAAGAAAATGTAGTGATAGGTACACTTCAAAAACTCAAGACATGACTGCCTTACCATGGGCCCTGCCTAATAGAAGCTCAGGTGCGAGGTAGTCTGGGGTTCCCAGGATTCGCCCATCATCCACTGGGGCTGCCCCTCTTCTCACACTCTTTGGAGTTCGATACGGAGTTCCTGACTTGACCTGACTTGGGGTCTGCTAATTTAAAAAGAATTTTAAAAAGACAATAAATATCTTAATTCTTTTTACAGTGAACAGAAATGCCAAAACAAAAAAGCTGGGCATAAAGGACATACTCATATCCTTAATTTTGAAAAAGGACTCATAAAGAATTATAATTATACAAAGTCCTCATATCTAACAATACTCAACAGTTTAGGTAACACCAACTATTTCAATAAGATCTGGACATGCAAGAAAAAATGAAAACGTTAAAAAAAAACCAAAAAACTCCACTGTAGGAGCCTGAGGCTGACAAATGACTGAAATATTATGATAATATGTAAGATAGAACTAAATATAAATAACCTCTTGTGCTAACTGGAGTTTAAGTGCTTAAGGTATTTTGTTGTCTCATAAGGACTCTGAGCTCAGCAGGACAGAGAGCATTATATTCTACTGACAGAAGGGAAACAGATTCTGAGGGTCAGGGACTTCTAAGTCACCCAGTACGTTCTGAATAGAAAACCCAACTTGTAACTCTCAAGTTTCCACTTTTTTTTAATTATGATGTCTCTCCAAGGGAAAAATAAAAGGGGTTAGAAAATAAAAACAAAATAAGATTTAGAATATGTATTTTCAACTTTTTTTCTGTAAAGAAGAGATCACCTAAATATGTCTTTAGAAGAGAGCAGAGTAGATTTTAATTTTATAACTCACAGATTTTCTGGGGTCAAGTGAAAATATGTAGTTATAAATATACTAGAGGCCCGGTGCCTGGATTTGTGCACCAGTGGAGTTCCTCTGCCTGGCCTGTGGGGATAGGGCTGAAACCGCCTCTCCGACATCCCCTGAGGGGTCCCAGATAGGGATAGGGTGGTTCTCGGGTGACACCCCCCGGAATTGGACTTCCTCCTCTCTGGTTCCAGGTGCGTCACCTGAGAACCACTGCTGCCAAGTGACCACAGCTCGGCAACTCCTGCTTTGAGCATCTTCCCCCTGGTGGTCAGTGCGTGTCATAGCTACTGGCCGGCTGGTCACTTAGGCTTTTATATATATCGATGATCGTAAATATGTGTAAGTGTATAGGGCAGTACAACCACTAGCTTTACCTTTATGCATTAAAACGTCCAACAAATTTTCCAATAAGTAAACCAAAACTGTATGCTTAATATCATATAGTTTAGCTGAGAGGCAAGAGTCTGGCCTTCATAGTTTACTCTTCTGCCATCCAAAGAACAAAGTGTTAGAAAGTTATGCATACCTGATATGGCAAGTAGGATCTTTCTTTCTGAGTTGGGGTTATGGCCATGGGATATGAACCACTATAAGCACACGAAATATCCATTGCGTCTAAATCAATGCTCATTTTGGATGGTTCTGAATTATTGGATACATTAATATGGCTGTTAAAACTTCGAAAAGCTACAGCATTTCTTTTAGAGACGGTTAATGTTTTCAACACCTCTGAAGAAGGAGCTAACATTTTTTGGTTACTGTCTTGGACAACAGGATTCTCATCACCTTTTGGCAAGGTACTTTCTTGGCAGCTGAGTGATACACTAAGGAAGTCTTCAATATTTGACTCTTCAAAAGAAGATTCTTTGATGCTTTTGTTTGGATTTAAGGACTGCCTTTCTAATGGACTTTCCAACATAGAAATTCCAGGAAAAGATGAATCAGAGTCCATACAAATACTTTTAGAACCTCTATCATCATCAGAACATAGAAAACTAGAACTTAAGTTGTCCTTGTTATTTTTGTCACAATCTTCATCCAGTTCGCACATAAGATTTTTTGCTATCACTGGGATATTTGTTTTTTCTGGTGTTTGTTGTTTATCCATAAAAGAATCGACCATATTCTCCTTATAAGTACTGTCATTTTGCTGACTTCTATATACTGATAATTTAAGGTCCTGAATTTCAGTTGTTAAGCCTGTACTTTGATTTGTATAACTCATTTCATTACTATGCTTATACTCTATACAATTTTTTTTATTCAGTATAGTTTCCTGACAAGGACTGGAGTCAACTAACTCAAAATGTCTCTTAACACTTTTTTTCCCAAGGTGCTCTTCAGTTATGCCAGCAGAATTTACAGTCCCCTGATTTGACTGATGAAAACCAGACTGTCTTGTGCAAGTGGCCATATTAGTGTTATTTATATCCAGTTCTCTTGCTTCCCAAGAATCTTTCCCAGAGAAGCACTTTTTAGCAAGGTTTACACAAGAGCTTCCACTGGCAGGAATGGCACTACTATTCTGGATGGGAGAAAGGGCTAATTCAAGATTCTTCTTATTGAAACTCATGGTCTCGATGTCATTCGTAGATTTTGTACATAAAGGCTTTTCAGTTGTGTTCCAACTCATCATTGGAGAGCCCGATCCATCGTCATTTTCCTAAGAGGAGAGGGAGAACCATTTTTTAGTTATATAAAGCTGAGATTTTTTTTAACCTATTAAACCTCTGTCCACTTAGGTGGAATAAATGCCTCATAAACTATTATGCTACCTATTTCTACTTTCCAATGGAACAAAAGAACGATGATAACACATAATTAAAAAGCAGCATAAATTATAGCATACAATTATAGCGTATATTTATACACATTATTTAGAGTGAAACACTGGTCTAAAATGTAAACCAATTACTCTATAATACTTATTTGATACTCTATTACATGTTATTTAAATAGAACAAATTAACAGGCAACATATTTAGACAAATTTTGGGGTAAGGCAGCATTATGTATATATCTTCTTTGCAATAGGAATATCATTGATTTTGTTTTGAACTGCAAAAGTACAGGGCTTGATATAAATATAGTTAATAGTAAATTATAGCTAAAATATTATTATTTGTTAAATATACTTTTATTGATTTCAGAGAGAAAGGGAGAGAGAGAGAGAAACATCAATGATGATAGAATCATTGAAGGGCTGCCTCCTGCACAACCCACACCTCAGGATTGAGCCCGCAAACCGGGTATGTGCCCTGACCGGGAATCAAAGTGACCTTCTGGTTCATAGATCAATGCTCAACCATTGAGCCAGGCCGGCGGGAATAGTCAAAAATATTATTAATACAAGCATGTATCACTTCAAACAAGTATAATAACACCAACCTAATAAGGATGAGGCTAAATTAGTGGTAATTTATAATGAAAAAACAAAAATAACATGGGTTAAATCCATTGTCAATAAGTTGAATTAATGATACATTAATAACAAAATGTTTTTCTTGAAAACTGAACTCCAACCCTCTACAGATGTTCTTGGGCAGGGGTCCTCAAACTTTTTAAACAGGGGGCCAGTTCACTGTCCCTCAGACCACTGGGGGGCCGGACTATAGTTTAAAAAAAACTAGTTGGTTGCTAAGCAAAGGGAAGTGGCACAAAAACACCTGGCGGGCCGGATAAATGTTTTCGGATGGCTGCATGTGGCCCGCAGGCCGTAGTTTGAGGACCCCTGTTCTTGGGTGATAGGAGCTTTGTACCTAATATTGCAAATTGGTGCATTAATTAGGATTTTTACAAGATCATTCAATTAGAGGGAGTCTTCAATCACTATTTTTAATAGTACCTATTTTTGACATGTGAAAATGAAATTTTATTAACTCAGTATTAATTCAGAGCACTTGGTCATAAACCAAAGAAAATTCCTGAATTACAACTCATTGATCTGTAAGCACAGAAATGATGCATTTGGGGATTAGCACAGGGTTTATCAGGGTTCCCTTGTCCTTCTGTAATCCAATCATTGCATTCCTCAGGGATGCAGAAGTAGAGGAAGAAGGCAAAGCTGTGTACAGTTGAAATAGTATATTTTTTTTCTTGAATAGGACAGAAATGAAATAATAGTACTAGTAATGCAAATCTGGTTTATTCTGTAACATATACGTATTACCTACAGAGCAGCCTATAAGGAGAAAAGGAAAAATAAATGAGAAATCCTGTCTTAACTAAAAAATAGTTTGACCTTGTTCCTAAAATACAAATATCCAACAATAATAAAGAAAATCATATGATTGAGAATGAGGAATAAATACAATCCAAATTATGTAATGAAACAGAAGGTTTATTCTTTGTGCACTACCATGATTCTAACGAACATTATTAGTATTATTACTAGAGGCCCGGTGCATGAAATTCATGCACTGGGGGTGGTGGTGGTGGGAGGGCCCCTCAGCCCGGCCTACGCCCTCTTGCAGTCCAGGAGCCCTAGGGGAATGTCCAACTCCTTGCAGGGAGTGGGTCTAAGCCGGCAGTCAGGAGCACACTGACCACCACAGGGCAGCTCCTACATTGAGCGTCTGCCCTCTGGATTGTCAGTGTGCATCATAGCGACCGGTCATTTTGCTGTTTGGTCGATTTGCATAGTAGCCTTTTATTATCAAGATTATTATTATTATATTTAATCCTCACCTGAGGATATGTTTCAACTGATATGATAGAGGAAGGTAGAGAGAGAGAGATAAACATTTATGTGAGAAACATTGGTCAGTTTCCTGCCATACTAGCCCCCAATGGGGATTGAACCCAGAATCTGAGTATATGCCCTGATCAGGAATCAAACTCGCCATCTTTTGGTGTATAGGATGATAATCCAACCAACTGAGCCACACTGGTCAGGGCTAATCTAGCATTATTTTATTGAAATTTAGTAGGGCAACTTTATTATAATTTAAAATTTTAGTTCCTCTCAGTTTTAATAGCTTTTAAAAATAGCAAAAACAGAATATATAATCTAAGTAAAATAATTAAGTGAATTCACTCATTTAGCACCAATTTTCTTAGAATAAAAGCTTTTAAAGGTACACATATATTATCTCTGTGGTCTAAAAGTTATTTCTGGGGGCTAGAGGGTGACAAGATTTGACTTTGGGTGGTGAGCACAATGTGCAATATACAGATCTTATAACATAGAAACCCATACCTGAAACCTATATGTTCATGTTCACCAATGCCACCCCAATAAATTTAATTTAAAAAAAAACACCAAAAAACTCTTAGGTAAAAGTTATTTCTTATCCAGAAGAGTTGCCATTCCATTAAATGAGAAACTGGCAGAAAACAGTACAGAAAGAGGTAGTGTTAATTTAAAAATAAGATATAGGTTAAAAAAATCAACAAGCTAATATTGGTGTCACAGGTAGGAAATTAAAAAAAGTCTATTTAGGTGTCTAGATGACAAACATTTACTATCAATTTGAGCAAAAATTTAAAAAATTGAAATCTCATATAAAATGAGTAATTTCACATTTGAACAAGAAGTAAAATATATGTATTTTTCTTTTTAAATATTTTTTATTGATTTCAGAGAGGAAGGGAGAGATAGAAACATCAATGATGAGAGAGAATTATTGATCAGCTGTCTCCTGCACACCCCCAACTGGGGATCAAGCCCGCAACCCAGGTATGTGCCCCTGACCAGAATCGAACCCAGAACTCTTCAGTCTGCAGGCTGATGTCTATCCACTGATAGGGCAGAAAGTAAAATATTTCAAAAGAATTTGACCGAATGTACAGGAAAATGAAGAGTACCTTTACTGCTGTTGATGTAACAGTTTCATTTCCATACAGAATTTAAATGAAAAGGTAAAAAGTGTGTCTATCATTAATTTCACATACATAATTGGTTTTCGTTAAGATAAATTTCATTCTAACCTGGCAATCTTTTTCCCATGTAGGACTGCTGTGGCATTCAGATTCCATGCTGGATACAAAAGTGTAGGACTGACTACTGGCACTGGATGTAGCCAGCCTTTTCCTAGACTGGAGTAGATTAGAAGTTAGACACTTTACAGGCATTCTGGGGTTGGAGGCAACTGTTTCAAAACCTGTAGGGAAGAGAAAATATTGAAGCTTATGACACATCTTTCTTAAAAAAAGAAAATTTTTTTACTAGAGGCCCAGTGCACTAAATTTGAGCATGGTTAGGTCCCTAGGCCTGGCCAGCAATTAGGGCCATCTGTGGGACAACCGGCGGGGCGATTGGGGGGACCTCAGCTGGCATCTGCCTTGGCCAGTCTGGCGCCACACCCTTGGCTGGCCTGGGTCCTGTGGGCTGGGGGCAGCTCCTGCGTTAAGCGTCTGTCCCCTGGTGGTCACTGCACATCGTAGCAACTGGTCGTTTTGCTGTTTAGTTGATTTGCATATTAGGCAGTTATTATATAGGATTCATTTCAGGAAGGGAGAGGGATAGAAACATCAATGATGAGAGAGAATCATCAATTGGCTGCAAAATCCACGGAGCCAAACTAGCTAGGCTGACACATCTTTTTTTTTTTTAAATATATATTTTATTGATTTTTTTTATTGCTTAAAGTATTACAAATGGACACATATGTGTCCATTTTACATTTTATTGATTTTTTACAGAGAGAAAGGGAGAAGGATAGAGAGTTAGAAACATTGATGAGAAACACCGATCAGCTGCCTCCTGCACACACCCCACTGGGGATGTGCCCACAACCAAGGTACACGCCCTTGACCGGAACTGAACCTGGGACCCTTTAGTCCACAGGCAGACACTCTATCCACTGAGCCAAACCAGTTAGGGTTTTTATTGATTTTTTTTACAGAAAGGAAGGTAGAGGGATAGAGAGCTTGAAACATCGATGAAAGAGAAACATTGATCAACTGCCTCCAGCAGCCCCCACTGGGGATGCACCGGCAACCCAGGTATATGCCCTTGACCGGGATCGAACCTGGGACCCCTCAGTCCGCAGGCTGAAGCTCTATCCACTGAGCCAAACCGGTTAGGGCTGACACATTTTTCTTAATTTCTCATGGAACCTGAATCTTTACAGATAATTAGGCAAAGTATTAAGTATTGCACAACAGAGCTATTTTTTTAAAATTACTCCTTACTTGAGGGTTTTTTTCCATTGATTTTTAAAAAGAGTGGAAGGGAGGGAGGGAGAGAAGGACAGAGAGAGTGAGAGAAACATAGGGGCCAGGGATCAAACCTGGAACTCAGGTATGTGCCCTTAACTGGGATTCAAACCTGCAACCCTTCGGATTGCAGGATGACACTCTAACAACCACTGAGCAAACGAACCAGGGTGTATCATAGCTATTTCTATGTAAACATTACTTAATCCATAAGGATAGCTTTCACTGTTTTTGATATACTAGTACAAATACTGTTCTGGAATCAAGATGGTGGCACAGGTAAACACCACTACTCACTGCCTCCCACAACCATGTAAAAATCACAACTAAAATACAGAACAACCATCATGCAGAACTGCCTGAAAACTGGCTGAATGGAAGTCCTACAACTAGAGAAGAAGAAAGCACATTGAAGGGAGGAGGTCTGGAACGGGCTGGTCCCACGCCCATGTGTGCCAATTTTTTAATTGGGGGGTAGGTTGTCTCTGTGGAGGCCTCCTGTGAGGAGCAAGGGGTCCCAGCCCCACACCAGACCCCCAGACCAGGGTTCTAGAGCTGGGAAGAGAAGTCCCTATGCCTTTAGGCAGTGAAAACCAGTGGGGATTGTGGCTGAGTGACATCGAGGCTGCTGGATATCCATGTGTTCCTCATTTTTACTTTATTTTTTATTCTTTATTATTTAAAGTATTACATATGTCTCCTTTCCCCCTTCCCTATCAAACTCTCCCTGGCCACTCCCACCCCTCAGCACATGACCCACACCCCCAGTCTTCATGTCCATTGGTTATGATTACTGGTGTATGCATGCATACAAGTCCTTTGGTTGATCTCTTAATTGCCTTCCCTCTGAGGTTTGATGGTCTGTTCGATGCTTCTCTGTCTTGGGGTCTATTTTTGTTCATCAGTTTATGTTGTTCATTATATTCCACAAATAAGTGAGATTAAGTGATATTTATCTTTCTCCAACTGGCTTATTTCACTTAGCATAATGCTCTCTATGTCCATCTATGCTGTGTGACTGGTAAGATTTCTTTCTTTTTTACAGTAGCAGAGTATTCCATTGTGTAGATGTACCATAGTTTTCTGATCCATTCATCTGCTGATGGGCACTAAGGCTGGTTCCAGATCTTAGCTATTGTAAATTGTGCTGCTATGAACATAGGGGTGCATATATCCTTTCTAGTTGGTGTTTCTAGTTTCTTGGGATATATTCCTAGAAGTGGGATTACTGGGTCAAATGAGAGTTCCACTTTTAATTTTTTGAGAACAGTCCATACTGTTTTCCACAGTGGCTGCACCAGTCTGCATTCCCACTAGCAGTGCACGAGGGTTCCTTTTTCTCCACATTCCCGCCAGCACTTGTTTGTTGATTTGTTGGGGAAAGCCATTCTGACAGGTGTGAGACGGTACCTGATTATCATTTTGACTTGCATCTCTTGGCTGATTAGTGACTTTGAGCATGCTTTCATATGTCTCTTGGCTTTCTGAATGTCCTCTTTTGAGTGAAAAGTGTCTATTTAGGTCCTCTGCCCATTTTTTGATTGGATTGTTTATCTTCCTTTTGTTAAGTTTTATGAGCCTGTAAATTTTTGATATTAAACCCTTACTGGAGATAACGTTGGCAAATATGTTTTCCTACGCAGTAAGTTTTCTTGTTGTTGGTTTCTTTTACTGTGCAGCTTTTTATTTTTATGTAGTCCCATTTGTTGATTTTCTTCTTAGCTTCTATTGCTCTAGAAGCTGTATTAGTTAAGATATTGCTAAGACATCTGTCTGATATTTTGCTTCCTGTGGATTCTTCTAAGATTTTTATGGTTTCCCTTCTTACATTTAAGTCGTTTTTTAAATATATTTTTATGGATTTCAGAGAGGAAGGGAAAGGGAGAGATAGAAACATCAATAATGAGAGGGACTTATTGATTGG